CTGTCCATACTTGTGAGACATTCGGTCACAGTATGGAACTCTAGAGACCATTCGAGAAAAGTCTTGACTTTTTTCATGCTTGCCTACAACTTCTTCCTTTTTCACTTTCGCTAAGAAAAAGGAAAAAAGCAGTTAAGTAACAGAAGCGACCAAAAAAAAGGAAGTATAAGCAAAGAGTATTAGTTGCACCTGGAAATGAAGGGAAGAGAAGACCATTTGGAAGCTAAGGATTGAGAACCGTTAAAGAATGAAGCATGAGACGAAACCAAAGCGAGTTTGAAAACCAAATTACCGCTCGTGGTCGCCTAGTCATTGCCTTCCTGGACGGGCGATATCATGGGCTTCTCAGTACGTGCCCATACCATCGTAATCGTACCGGACCAAGCACTAAAATAACTGGGATTACAAAAGAAGCCTCTTGTTAAAGGCACGGTTCACGATAAAAAAAAGGTTACTGAGTTCTTCCCTTAGAAATACTCAGCGCCCTCCATGGGTGGTAGCAGGGACCCTCTCGCTCCCATAATCTCGGCACTTAGGGCATAGTGGAAGCCCCGTTGCTGCCGTAGTTCGCTTTCCCGCCCCTCGATCGGTGTCACGTTAGACGAGTGTCGAGACAATACAGATTGCTATTATTCGTTCTAGGANCCACGCACAATCAGCTAATCGCCGAGTGATGAGGCGATGTCTTTCTCCGATTTTTTTCCTCTGTTTTTCTTTTTGCTGCCGCGATCCCTTATTCAATTTCCTACTCCTAGAGGCTGAAAAAGGAGAGCTACTTTTGCTGTTACTAGGGTTTTTTGTTTATTTATGCTTATAAGGGAATGAATTTTTGCTTACCATTGCTGTTATTCGCACCAGGACCCACACGCGCGCAGTGAAACAAACTGCGTAGCTCGTCCGGACACCCCACTCTTCTTCATTTTCCTGGTTTCATTGTCGTCCAGCCCCCTTTTTAACGTTTTTTCGAAGCCTTTTTCACTATGGCAACACCGATGCACGCAGTTTCTTCAGATTCATCGCTATTTTCGATTTTGTCTTCCATATTTCATCATAATCTGGATTACCCAAAACTATCGTGAACTCTGCCTTTAAAGCACTTGCATTAAAAAAATTGAAAGAAGTACCATGGATGAGAATCTGCTTGAACCTTTATCTGACAATACAACATTGGTTCTTAAAGAATTACCATTTGCAGGTCCTATGTGCCCAGGCAAGTCCTACCCATAGCATTCTGGGTTGCTGGTAAATTGAATCGCTTCTTTCCAGATGAGTACGCTGAGGAGATTCGAGGTAGTACTCTTCTTATTTCATTCGTTATCAGAAATATTATTCGACGTGCGAAGCCCATTTGATAATCAGGAATTGCCAAAGCCTCTGGGCTGCCGCTGGGTCATGTAGTGTCAATGAATATCCTCTACGACATACTTGCCTTTGATCGAAAGCAGTAGGTTGCTGCCTGATTTTCTGTTCTTGCAATTTTTTTNATGCGAAGCCCGTTTGATAACCAGGAATTGCCGAAGCCTCTGGACTGCCGCTGGGTCATGTAGTGTCAATGAATATCCTCTACGACATTCTTGCCTTTGATCGAAAGCAGTAGGTTGCTGCCTGATTTTCTGTTCTTGCAATTTTTTTGAACTATTATATACCAAATTGAATAATTTTAAGCATCTTGGATATGGGATGCACTTCTATCGTTGCTCAAAGCAGAAATGGAACCATTTTCCATGGACGTAATCTCGATTATGGGTTGAGTGACTTGCTGAAGAACGTCACGATCATAGTGGATTTCACCAGTGGACATGGAAAAGACACGGTAAATTGTTTTCTGACGTTGCAGTACATTGGCGGAGGTTGTGGGGAGGCGGGCAGTAGGAACGGTTTTTTGTGTGATCGACCCGCCGCACGCGGCTGCCGCGGACCTTTTGCCTCGTTACAACAGTTCTAGCGTTCTTATTCAGCTCATTCGCTATGCGATTATTACTTATGGCACAATTCTGCTATTAGTACTTTTGTTCCTGAATTTCTTACTTGCGGCTGCATTCTGCTACATTCTTCGCGCGCGGCGTCTCTCGCCGCAACGCGACTATTTCGTTCCTACTGCACCACACCCGAGGTGGTGTAGTCAGCCCAGTCCAACCATGTCAGTCTGCCTTTATGATAATGCGTCACTCCCATTCCTTCGGGGGTGAACTGTTTTTACCCTAATCTACTGGGAATAAAATCATGGTGATCGGCCAGCCGACGCAAGTCATTGTGTGGACCTCACACGCATTCGAAACACCACTAAGATTTTTGGTGGAAGTCGAAGGTGATGGGATAATAGAGGATAGAGGGACCAACTTTGGAGGGAGGCTTCATCCTTTCGACTCCAAGAGTTGCATACCACATCGTCCGTCAGAAGTAGTCGCTTGGTTTTATTTCCTATTAGCGCTATTTAACAGCCCCATCTAGATTACTGTGCTATCTAAGCGTGATGAATATGCTGTATGGGATAACCTACCCAGAAATTGCAGTTGGTGGTGAACCTTTCCAAAGATCATTTGGCTGCTCAATTTCTTCGAGTTTTTTGATTGGGTACAGATTCTCTTTTCATTGTTATTTCCTTGATTATCATTGTTATTGATTCTCAAATTGTTATTGATGTCAACGACCAACAGTCATACCCCTCTGCTCTGCAGACATCGTGCTAACAGCATCAAACATCAACAGGCGGAGCGGATGGTGTCTGAAAAGGACAGTACGTATGACAAGTTTACTTCGTAGCTGAATCTAAGGATAAGAACGTTCATGATTGTTCTCTCTGACCGTGGGTTTTTCAAGACGAACAGAGGGAAGTGCACCAGGAAGTGATGCGGCTCCCGATGCTCTACGGCAGCGAATGCTGACCCGTAAACAAAATCATGAAAAACAACTTCATTCAGCTGAAGTGAGGATGCTCAGATGGGCCTGCAGTTCGACATGACTGGAACAAGTCAGAAAGGACGACGTCAGGGCGGCCACGCAAACAGCTCCTGTCCAGAGGAAGATGAGGGAGCACCTTCTGCAGTGGTACAGACACGCACTGAGAGTCAACCGGTGAGAAAGCCAATGGAGTTTGAAGCTTAAGGGACCACCACGAGGAACTTAAAAGAAGAGGTAGCGGGATGTGGTCAAGAAGGACCTCATCGAACCTGAAGTGAAGGTCCAAAATCTCGTATACAGCGAAAATGGAGGCCTCCGAAAAGAACAGCGATCTCGGCAGCGCGGAATCTGTAGGAGAAGAAGGGGTCTATGAGGCTGCACCGACTTATCACGGGACGATGTAGACGTCACTGGTGCCCGGCCGAGCGACATGGCGATGGGAAGACAGGTAGGCGACAAGTACAAGTACAAGCACAGGTACAGGTACCTGATGGTACTCTGCTGGAAGGCTCAAAAGGGGAGGACGATGGAACATGAAACAATTTGGCACCTGGAGATACCACCCAGAGCATCTCCAACACATCCATACTAAGTTTCGGCATTTTTAAAAACTCTTGATTTTTGCTATTTATTTATTATTGGGATTATTCTTTTATCATTCATTATTACCACCAACACTACTATTTATGTTCACGGCCATCTCATTTATGACTAAACATAACATGATTCTTTTTGTTTAGAAAATCATGTACAGCGGTGTGACATTCGCACTTTCCTCTACTTTGTTCACCGGTCAAAATGACGCCTTCACGCTGAGTCTAAACGCTCGTTGTAAGCGCTCCTAACTGTTGCCTTGACATACTTCATTCAACCCCTCTCGTTTCAGATTCTGGTCCGTACATCTATAATATTTTCATGGAATTCTTCACCCGATTCCGTACCCCTGTTGGATTTCTGCTACGAGAAGTTCGTTTTGAAATTTGAGTGCAAAGAAAATTCTAAAAGCTATGAGTACGAAAAGCACGAGCTTTCACCATACACCACTTGGTTAGGGACCGTCAAGCGTTTATCTGCTCCCATACGTGATGTTGAAGTCGAAAAAAGAGATCTCATAAAAGAGGAACAAATCAAATTCTAAGATAAATCAAATGGAAAGCACCAATTTAGGTTCTGGCTTCATCGAAAACCTACTCGGAGGCGCTCAATCATCTCAGCAATCGTCATTTATTCTCTCCATCCTTTATTATTATCGGAGGACGTGAACGAGGCGAAGGAGCAATCATTTCACGGTAGGTTTGAATGTAACTGAGGGCGTAGTCCACGACAAAAAGGTTCTTGAGATTTCCTATTGGGAGGAGCCTGTGGTCTTCAAAGTTCCACATGGTGTTGTCGGGTCGAAAAGCGGCTTATATGTTGAGGGTGCAACTAAGGTTCGAATATTGGCAGTTTCGAAGGGGTGACCAACTCACTGCACAGTTGCATACGACTAAAATCTCGTCCGAATAACTCTTTTGTCGTCATAATCTCGTGCAGCCCCTCCCTCCCTCTCCCCCTTTTCACTAATCGCTTCCAAGAGCCACTTGTTAAGCGGTTCAGCAGATGTTCTCGTTTTCTTCGCCTATGTTCTGCAACATCACTTGCGTCATTTAAACTGAAAAAGGCAACCCAAAGTTGCCGTTAACCGTGCCTTTGAACAGCTTTTTTTTCGAGTCAGTGCACTAGAGCCCTCGAACTCTCGAAGATCTCTTGGGGTACGGAATGCAAGCTTTTTCGCTTACCTTTTTCGGTTACAGGGTGAAAGTGCAGGTGGTCCCTCAAGAAGCGAAGAAACCAAGGAATTCTACCGGAGTCTCTGGATCTCTTTTTTGAATCAATCATATTTAAGGTTGGACGAGTACGACATGACGACAAAGTAGTTGTCTAGACAATACTATTTCAATTGCTGAAGAGCTATGGAGTTAGGCATCGGCGCCTATCTGCCGATTGCATGTACGCACAATGAATGTTCTGAATTTTGAACGGTGGAGAGTATTCAGGGGCAAAGGAAAGACCAATTTCTAAACGGTAGCCATCCCCCGTTCCGTTCCGACAACTACCATGTGATCTTCCCAGGGGTCATATATTCTTTCCAATAGGAAATTTTTTCATTTTATTCGTCAACTGTGCTCTTACGCAATCATTTAGCAATAATTTCTTCAGAGATCGTATGCATGCTGCCGACGTAAGGACTCTGAGTAATGGTACATGGTTCCTTGTAGAAACGAACTTCGATCCATGGAAAAAGGATAGCGACAAGAGAAGGTAAGCATTTCCATTAGTGGAATGGATTGTGTGCGTACAGATTAGAGTGTTTGGAAAGTTTAGAAGGATTGTGAGCCCACCGTTTTACAAGTGGATATGCATCGATGGCTTAGCTCATAGGGCGACCGCTGTTATAGTATAGCTCACCCGGTTTATGGATATTGTGAACTTACTGGCGGAGTTACACCAGCATGGTGTGTTGCGACGTCGTAACCAAGTTGGCTGCACATACCATGATGCTATGTCAATACATTTCAACTTTGACAGCTGTCCCTCATACAGCTATGACTATGACACCTAACTATCTATGAGGATGACTTCTGAAATGCCATTCCCACAACTACATGGTGATGGAGAGCAGAAGAAATCTTTCTGCTTAGCCTTACTGGAGAATATGTGTAACCCTTTACCCCGATTTCCGACTGAAAAAATGGCAGCAGATGCTGGAATTGATTGGAGTACATTCAATGTGAGGAAGTAGATGTTTCTCAGCTCCAAGAAGTGCACAGAGCCAGTCGTAGTCTATCATGGGGAATCCATCAAGATACGGATACTTGGAAAATGGTCAAGCCGTTAACGATGAGTGAAATGTGCCAGGACATACGCAGGATTTTCCAAATATAGGGAATCTATCGATATCATCTGCGATCGACGTGCTCTGAGACTCTTGAAGGAAACGTACACCGATTAGCGGTGAGGGCCACGATTTTCTACTTGGGCGAGTGCTGGTGAGAGTGTAAGAACTGCGGAAGACGTCTCAGCTTCGCTGGAATCCGGGTGATGAGATGGGCCCACGACTAGCAATGTGGAAGTATCCGGCTATAAACTTCCTTTCATGAGCGAAGTGGTCATTAACTAGCTGACCGTCTCTGCGAATGGAAAAGAATCTTCCCGCATGTTTTGAAAAGTTGATGATTCACAAAAAAAACCTTGGTCTTGAACGGACTTCATTGATATGTTTCAGGATCGCTGCTCAAAAAATGCTGACAGCCATGGGACAGGAAGCACTGAATGCCGACACGATGATGAAGGTCTTACGAACGCATCCCGTCAAGAACAATGAGACCTTATTCAGTACAGTCATGAGCGCTCGATTCCCTATGCTCATGAAAAATTCCACTTTTATTTGGGATTAAGCCATCTTTCGAATTTCATCGATAAAACAGTCATTCATAACGATCTTCCAAAACGTTTTATGGAATATTTTCCATCACGTTCTGATTACCATCTTTAAAAAAACTGTAAACAATGAGGGTTTTCAACATGAGCCCGAGCAGCAAGTTTCGACACAAATTAAGGAGTTCAGTAAAGTACAATGAAATGATATTCTGCGGATAAAAAGAACACCTCCATTGCAGGGTCATTGCATGTGATGGTGCATCAAAGATTAACCTTTGAGGCA